TGGTCAATGCTGCTAAAGTTTAGGGCTTGTAATCTGCCAAATTTGTGCAAGAAGAGGCCACAGCAGTTGTTCAAAAATACAAATACAGAAAACAATGAGATACCACGACCCATGCCCTGGTGGAAATGCAAAACTGGTGCAGCCACTTTATAAGACTATTTGGTGGCTTTCTGCAAAGCTAAACATACTCTTACCATGCAATCCAGCAATCACGGTCCTTGATGTTCACCCAAAGGAGTTGAAAACTTACATCCACACAAAAACCTGCACGTGGATGTTTACAGCAGCTTTCCTCATAATTGCCAAAATCTGAAAGCAACCAAAGCAACTCAAAATGTCCTTTAGTAGGTGAGTGTATCAGACAACGGAATATTATTCAGTACTAAAAAGAAATGAGCTGTGATGAAAAGACAGGGAGGAAACTTAAATTTGTGTAAGTGAAAGAAGCCAATGAGAAAAGGCCACACACTGTATGACTCCAACCATATGACATTTCTGAAAAGGTAAAACTACAGACAGTAAAAAGGTGAGGTGCTGGGGACAGAGGGATGAACAGGCAGGTGGCATGAAGGGGATTTTTAGGGCAGGAAAGCTCTGTGAGGTAGCGTCCACACTAGCAAATTCATCTTATTACACATTTGTCAAAGCCCATAGAATATGTAACACCAAAATGATTAGTAACAGAAAATCATATTGGTTCATCATTTGTAACAAATGTCCCAAATGAATGCCTGGTGCTGGGGAGCCTGGGTGTGTGTGTGTGTGTGTGTGAACTCGTACTTTCAGCTCGATTTTTCTGTAAACCTAAAACTGTTCTAAAAAACAGTCTGCAAACTACTATAAATGCACATGAAGTTTAACACAAGAGCTGCTGGTTTTTAACTCCACTGATTCGATTTGCAGTTTCTGTGTAAAGATTTCAGAAGTGCTGGTTGTAGAAGAGCCGAGGCAGTCTCTGGTCTCCCGCCTGAAGAAACGCACAGGAAGGCCCAGGCGCCCCAGGCCCTAGTCTCTCGCGGCCGCAGTCCCCCAACCCCAACCGGCCTGCCGCTCCCCGCGCCCTGCCGCGTCCCAAGACGGGAAAGGTTACTCAGTCCGCGGCTTCGGGTGGCCTCGGCCTGGGTCCCCTCCAGGGCCTCTGGACAGCCTCATCGGTACTCCGCTGACGCCTCTAAACTTGGCACAGGCTGTTCCCCCGCAGGTTCCGCCCCCCGCCCCCACAGAGGTCCCCCGGTCCCCGGGCGCCCGATCCCCGCAGGCCTGCCGAGGGGCGCCACCGCGGCGCTAGGGGCGGGCGGGCTGCCGGGGCGACAGCTGGGGGGGCGGCCCTGACCTTCCCGCGCGATCGATGGGGCGCGGCTCTGGCGGCGCGGAGCCGGGGCGGCGCTGACCCCCGCCCGCCCGCCCGCCTGGCTCCCGCTCCGGGCGCCGCTATAAAGGGGCCTGGGCCTCGCGGCAGCTCATCCCTATCCGGCGCACACCATGGCCACACTGGTCCTGCTGCTGCTGCTGCTGCCGCTGCTGCTCGAGGGCTGCGCCGCGCGCCCCGCGCCGCCCAGGTGAGCCTGCGGCCCCGGGGCCTGCTCCCACCCCCACACCCCATCCTGCCCCTGCCCGGCCCTGACCACCCGCGGCCGCCCTCCCGTCCCCTACGCAGGGCCCCGCGACACTCGGACGGGACGTTCACGAGCGAGCTCAGCCGCCTAAGGGACAGCGCGCGACTGCAGAGGCTGCTGCAAGGCCTGGTGGGGAAACGCAGGTGAGGGGCGGGGCCTGGTGGGGAAAACACAGGTGAGGGGCGGGGCCTGGTGGGGAAACGCAGGTGAGGGGCGGGGCCTGGAGGGGAAAGGCGGGCACGGGGCGGGGCCTGGTGGAGAAAGCCGGTCGAGGGGCGGGCCCTGGAGGGGAAAGAGGGTCGGGGGCCAGAGCCTGGAGGAAAAACGCGGATGAGGGGCGGGGCCTGGAGGGGGAAGGCGGGTGGGGGCGGGGCCTGGGGAGGAAGGCGGGCGAGGGGCGGGGCCTGGTGGGGAGCGCTGGTGAGGGGCTGGCGGCGGACGAGCAACGCGGTGGGGGAGTCCCCCGACTCCAGACTAATCCTGACTTGGGGTGGGGGGCAGCGAGCAGGACACAGAGAACAGCACAGCCTGGACCGAGTCCGCGGAGGGCCCGCTCTGCCTGCTGTGGTCGGACGCGCCCGCCCTGCGGGCTTGGTGAGCAGTAGCCCTCCCCCCGTCCCTCCTCCAGCGACTCCCTCCCTGAGGCGCCCTGGCTCTCGGGCACAGCCGCGGTCCAGGAGCCTGGGAAGGGGATGCTGCGGCGCTGGTGACCAGAGAGGCCTGCTGTCCCCAGGCGGGCGTGGGCTCCCGCGCCAAGTCCCCAACCCTTAACCCGGCTGTCTTTGCAGGGCGCCCCTGAGGCCCCCGGAGGATCAAGACTGGTCTTTCCAGCTGCCTCTTGCACTGAAGGCAGGGGTCATGGTGTCCAAGCCGTCTGTCCCGACTGCTGAGGGGACCCAATGAAGCCCTGAGGAAGAAAGACCCTCCAGGGGGGCCTGGACAGAGGAGGGGGTGGGAGGAGGGGGAGGGGTTGCATTTGGCACCAATAAAGGAGGAATTCAGACCCTAGCCCCGTGAACTCTCTCTGTGCACTGCGGTCTGGTACCCTCAAAGCTCTTGTGGGGCGCGGCTGTCCAGGGAAGGAGGATCCTGTCTCTGGAGTCTAGGGCTGTGGCCACGCCCAGCTGTCCTTTAAACCTGGGAAGCCAGAGAGGAGCTTCATCTGCCCATTTCCTTATCTGCTGCCCATCCCCTGGGCTCCCTGGAAGCTGGCTGCACCACTGTCATCCACACAGCAAACATTCAGAGACCGTGGGGGGCTCACATGTCCCCCAGCTCCTTTCCCAGGGAAGGGGGCAGTGGTGAGGGGGCAAGGGTGTTGTTCCTCAGTTGCTCAGTCGTGTCTGACTCTCTGAGACCCCATGGACTGCAGCACACCAACCAGGCTCCCTTGTCCATCACCAACTCCTGGAGCTTGCTCAAACTCATGTCCATTGAGTCGGTGATGCCATTCAACCATCTCATCCTCTGTCTTCCCCTTCCCCTCCCATCTTCAATCTTTCCCAGCATCAGGGTCTTTTCCAATGAGTCAGCTCTTCGCATTAGGTGGCCAAAGGAATGGAGTTTCAGCTTCAGCATCAGTCCTTCCAATGAATATTCAGGGTTGATTGCCTTTAGTATTGACTGGTTTGACCTCCTTGCAGTCCAAGCGACTCTCAAGAGACTTCAATACCACAGTTCAAAGGCACCAATTCTTCGGCACTCAGCCTTTTTTATTGTCCAGCTCTCAGCTGGACATGAAAAACCATAGCTTTGACTATATGGACCTTTGTAGGCAAAGTGACATCTCTGTTTTTCAATATGCTGTCTAGGTTTGTCATAGCTTTTCTTCCAAGGAGCAAGCGTCTTAATTTCATGGCTGCAGTCATTGTCTAGAGTGATTTTCGAGCCCAGGAAAAGAAAGTCTCTCTTTTTTTCCATTGTTTCCCCATCTATTTGCCAGGAAGCGATGGGACCAAATAAGCAGGGTAACAATACATAACCTTGACGTACTCCTTTCCCAATTTTGAACCAGTCCATTGTTCCATGTCTGGTTCTAACTTGCTTTTTGACCTGCATACAGGTTTGGCAGGAGGCAGGTAAGGTGGTCTGGTATTCCCATCTCTTTAAGAATTTTTCCACAGTCTACTGTGATCTGCAGTCAAAGGTTTTGGTGTAGTCAATAAAGCAGAAGTAGATGTTTTTCTGGAATTCTCTTGCTTTTTCTATGATCCAATGGATGTTAGCAATTTGATCTCTGGTTCTTCCGCCTTTTCTAAATCCAGCTTGGACATCTGGATGTTCTCGGTTCACATACTCTTGAAGCCTAGCAAGGGGCAAGGACGGGGCAGGGAGGCTTAGCCTAGCAGGAAGAGGTGACAGGCAGGAGACGTTGCCCAGGAGCCACTCCCCAGTGGGAGGACCTGAGCATGATCTCAGCCCCGCAGCCCAGCCTGCTGTCTGGCCGAGCGCCTTGACCACCCAGGGCCTGTGGGGCAGGGCCGGTGACGACACCCCAAGAAGTGCTGGGGTTGCAGGAGGCCTTGGAGGACCAGGGGTGCAGGCAGGGCTGTTTCGGGAAGGTGTTTCAGGCCAGGAGGTGGGGAAGACTCCACCCCACACTGTATCATAGCAGGCCCTTCTCCCCTTCTGGACCCCACCCTTTGGTGTCTCCCACCTACCAAGCTTAGGTGGCCAAGGAAATGGAGGCAGGATGCTTGGGGACCTGGGCTAAGGTTCTTCACCAGGATGCCCCTCTGTTGGCACCCAGGGTGCACCCCCAGAGCTGCCAGCTGCCCCTGGAACACTGCCATCTTTGTCACTGTGGGCTCACCCAGCCCTGCCTGGAGGAAGCCAGCTTGTTTCTGGGACAGGCAGGGGAGTCCCTGGGACACGAAAAACCTTCCCCTTCCAGACCTAGAGGGTTGAGTAGGGGAGAGGAGGTGGGCCTGGACCTCACGGGGCTGACTACTGGCTCTGTCCTGTGATGGTTCTGGCAGAGGAGCCCAGCAGAGGGGCATCCCACATGCGGGGGACACAGTGAGCACAGAAGCCAGTCCCCCCGGCCCTCCAGTCCAGGCCCCGGTTCCCAATTCCCCTGCCCAGCTGTGAGCTCCTCTGTCTCGGGGTCTGTGGGGCGAGCACCGTCAGCCCCTGCACGTGCCCTGGATCTGGTCTCCCCCTCTTGGCGGACAGAGGGGCCTGGCCGGCGGCCTACGGGGGCCCCCTTGGTGGAGGCCAGGCCTGTGGCCTGGCGGTTGTAAAGGACCATAAAGTGGGGCGGTGCCTGGCGGGGGCGAAGATCACCAGGGAGGAGATTGCGCCAGGCAGCACCGGGCGGCTCAGCGGGTCCTGGATAGCAGACGGGCTCGGACCCTCCACGGGCCGCCCGCCGCCACCGCCCAGATGGGGATGTGGGTCCTGCTGCTCCCGCTGCTGTTTGCAGCTGAGGCCCAGGCCCAGGGCACAGGTGTGGAGGGGCAGGGGGCTGGGCGGGGCGCGGGGGGCGGGCCAGCGGGCAGGGGGCTGGGCGGGGCGCGGGGGACTAGCCAGCGGGCAGGGGGCTGGGCGGGGCGAGCGGGGCTGGCAGCACCGACCCTTGCTCCCCGACGTCCAGTCTGCTCCGTGAACAAGACGTCCCTCACAGTCAAGGAGAACACGAACCCCGGGGAGCCCCTCCTGGACATCTACGTCCCCGAGGGCCAGCAGGTGGCTCTTGGACCCTCGTCCACCCTTTTTGCGTTTCGGATCCAGGGTAATCAGCTGATTCTCAACGTGACCCCGGACTATGAGGTGCGGACAGCGGACCCAGGTTGGCTGTGCCCGTGGGGGCGGCAGGGACGCCCTGTGGGACCTGCCTGGGCACTGACACTCCTTCCCGGAGAGGGGCTCTCTGGGCATCTCTGGGTCTCAGTTTGCCCAGGGGCCCTCTTGGGCCCCCAGGCTTAGCTGAGGGCCTGGTCTCTGGGTGGGCCCCTCAGGGAGTGAAGCTGCTGGGCCCTGATGCCCGCTGGACGCAGGGCAGGGGACGGGACCCCGAGCCAGCACCTGCCGCGCTCCGTCTCCTCAGCTGGGAGATGGGGACAGTCGGCGGGGCCAGCTGGTCAGGTGAGTCCCACGCCCACCCCCTCACAGGCGAACACAATGCTGCTGGCTCACCTGGAGTGCAGGAGCGGGGATGCAGTGGTGAGTGCGCCCCCAGACCCCTCCCACTACCCCCGAGCCCACCCGCCCCTGACGTCAGAGTGCCCTGGCCTGGACCTCTGTGCTCCACCCTGCCTGGCCGCGGTCACTCCCTGCTGACCCTGCCCGGTGGCGTGTGTTCAGATGTCACCTCTGTGCCAGCAAGGCCACACTGCCTCCAGCGGACTGTGCCTTGAGCTCCCAACCCCAGCCCAGTGGGTCCCCCAAGCCCACACTGCCCCCGTGGGCCCGCCCAGCCTAGGGCACGGCAGGAGAAAGACTCTCTCCTGTAAAGGGATCCCGAGCTGGGTCCCTGCCTCCTGAAAGAAGCGAATCAAGGCAGAGCGGTGCCCGCCCCCAGCCGGCTCCCTGGATAGACACGTCCTCAGAGAGGCGCCCACCCTCGCGCTCCCTCCCCTGTAGCAGCGGGCTCTTCGGTTTTCCCTGAGTCCCGTGGGTGCCCGCAGCCGACATCACAGCGCACCACGGAGACCTCAGGATGAGCCTCTAAAAGATAAGGCTGCTTCTTAACGGCTCCGCTCCCACTGTGATGCTGTCACCCCAGGGAAGGCAGGGACCCCTCAGCAGTGTGACACCCCTCGTCCCCACTCCCCTGGGGCCAGAGGCATCTGTGACAGTTTCTTAAGCCAGCAAGGCCCACCTAGGGCAGCTGCTGAGGTTGCTCTTGCGTCCCTTTCACTCTTCGGGTTTCCTGATTTCCCGTTTCATGTTTGAAGAAATTTGATTGTTTTGCCATTTTCCTCATTTTGGGGCTTTGCTGGTCGCACCCCAGAAGGCCTGTGTTATTTTTCTCCAGGTCATCCACACCTCTGTCTGTACTTTTTATTTATTTTTAATCTTTATTTTTATTTATTTACCTGCACCTGGTCTTAGTTGTGGCACACGGGGTCTTTAGCTGCCGTATGTGGGATCTATTAACAGTTCCCTGAAAGAAAAGAAAGTGAAAGTCGCATCTGACTCTCTGTGACCCCGTGGACTATATAGTCCATGGAATTCTCCAGGCCAGAATACTGGAGTGGGCAGCCTTTCCCTTCTCCAGGGAATCTGCCCAACCCAGGGATCGAACGCAGGTCTCCCGCATTGCGGGCGGATTCTTTGCCAGCTGAGCCACAAGGGACTGGGGACCAAACCCCGGGCCCCCTTCATTGGGAGCTCGGAGTCTCAGTCACTGGACTACCGGGGAAGTCCCGCACTTCTGTGCTTTTAAAATCACTTTCTGTTCCCTGTCTGTAACGCCTGGAGCAGGAGCCCCAGGCGGAGAGCTGTCTGGGGTGCACCCCAGCATCCGGGATGAGCTCACCTGGCCTGGCCGGGGACCTTCTCCCCCCAGGTGACTCAGCTGAAGGTGTTTGTGTCCGTGCTGGATGTCAATGACAACCCACCCAGGTTCCCCTATGAGACCAAGGTCTGGGAAGTGCCTGAGGTGAGCGGGAGGGGGCGGTGGCCGGTACCATCTGGGGCATCTGGAGGCCAGGGTCTGAGCCTGGGGGTCAGGGTTGTGGGGCATGTGGAGGCCAGGGTCTCAGCCTGGGGGTCAGGGTGATAGGGCATCTGGAGGCTGGGGTCTGAGACTGGGGGTCAGGGTCACGGCCAGACCAGCCCATCTGTCCCCCAGGACACTCGGGTGAACACCACCGTCATCTCAGAGACAGAATTGGAGGCCCAGGACCGGGACAAAGACGATGTCCTTTTCTACACCCTCCAAGAGGTCACCCTGGTCAGTGCTCCCAGCTCCCTGCTCTGGGCACTGCCCTCCCACCCCGACAGGTGCATCCTCCCCAGCTGAGTCCCCTACCTCCCCAGGGTGCCAGCAGCTTCTTCTCCCTGATGGGTGTGAACAGACCAGCACTGCGGCTGGACCGGTCACTGGACTTGGAGAGGTGGCCGAACATGACCTTCCGGCTGCTGGCCCAGGTGAGCAGGCCGCTCCCACCCACGGCCCCGCGCGCGGCCTCAGCCCCCAGCGCCCGGGCCTGACTGCAGGGCGGGGCTGTTGCAGGACACACAGGAGGAGACCTCGGAGCCCAGCCACACAGCCACAGCCACCTTGGTCCTGGAGGTGCAGCCCGTCGACCTGCGGCCCCCCTGGTTCCTGCCCTGCAGCTACTCGGATGCTTTTGTCTGCATCCATGCCCAATACCGTGGGGCTGTGCCCACCGGCCACAGACTGGTACTGGGGACCCCAAGAAGCAGGGTGGCAGGGGCGCGGGGCCTGGCTGCCGGGGGCCGGAGTGCTTGTAATTTTCAAGGAAGAATGAACATTCTTTCCTAAACCAATCTTGCCCCACGCCGTGGTGGCCAGGGCCTCTGAAATGCCAGTGAGGGAACTGGGTCCAGTTGTCCTCAGGACACAGCCAGAGAGCCTCCTGGGACCCAGCTAGTGGCAGTGAGCTGGGGGAGGATGCTGGGGAGGCTTGGGGGCCATTGAGGCGCTGGAGGGCAGCGGGGCCTGGCACGGCCACGAGGTGCACCCTCCCATTTGTGAGTGCTGCCTCTTGAGACAGACATGCATGTTCAGATTGATCCAGTGTCTCTGGGCAAACTGACTCATTAGCACCAGATCCAAGGAGCTGCGGTGGAGAGTCGTGCTGGACGACTGGGCTGTGTCCCTGGCTGCCCACTGGTAGCGACCCCCGGCCTCCTGGAGGGGCGCAGGGATGCCAAGCAGTGGCCACAGCACCAGCCCCACCGGGTCCTCACCCCTCCTTGTTCCCACAGCCAGGCCCCCTCATCCTGCATCCTGGGCCCGTCTATGCTGTGGACGGGGACCGGGGCATCAACCAGCCCATCAAGTACAGCATCATCAGTGGTGAGTGGGCAGCAGCCCCCAACTTCCCTCTCCAGGGAACACCTTGAGCCCATCCCTACGTGGGCAGACCTCAGGCCTCCAGAGGGGACCCAGGTCAAACACTCCCTCCGTCCTCTCAGGAAACGAGGACAGCACATTCTCCATCAGTGCCGACTCGGGCAACCTCACCATGACCAAGAGCATCCCCAACGCCAAGACCTTCCTTCTGGTGGTCAAGGTTCGTGCCCGCACGAGGCCCTGCTTGGGCCCACGGCTATAGGACACGCTGTTCAAGGACTAGCTGGTCACTGTTGTCTCCCAAACCCCCAGGGCGAGCAGGCTGATAACGCCCGATACTCCGTGACCCAGGTCACGGTGGAGGCCCGGAACGCCAACGGGAGTGTGCCCCACTTCACCCAGAGCCTGTATCGTGGCACTGTGGGGCTTGGCTCCGGGGTGGGCGTGGTCATCAAGGATGCAGCTGACCCCTCCCAGCCGCTGAGGATCCGGGCCCAGGACCCTGAATTCCCAGTAGGCACCGCCTGTTCCTTTGGTCTGCCTGGCCTCCTGCTGGGGGTGGGGGATAGAGCAGTTTTCGGAGCAGCCTGGGCTCAGGACTAACTGGGGCCACATCTAGGACCTCAACTCAGCCATCACGTATCAAATCACCAACAACTCCGACTTCCGAATGGAAGGAGAAGCGGTCCTGACTGCTGCCTCACTGGAGTATGCCGGGGTCTTCTATGCCGAGGTGAGAGGTGGGCGGTGGTCTCCGAGGGCCAGGGGTTCAATTGGAGCCCAGGAGGGACAAACCCCCTTCCTGTCCAGGTCGAGGCCAATAACACAGTGACTTCAGGCACAGCGGCCACGGTCGTGGAGATTCAGGTCTCAGAACAGGAGCCCTCTCCCACAGGTGAGGCTCCCAAGGACCCCAGGTTGGCAGGGGGAGGGCTCCTTTTTGGGGGCAGTGGCAAGTCCGAGCCCTGTCCCTGGCCCCAGGCCCCCCCACGTCCCCAGAGACGGCAGGAACTAACAGACCCTCAAGCAGCACCACTTTGGAAGTCCCCCGACCCCCTGAGCCTTCTCAGGGGTCCTCCACGACCAGCTCCGGAGGAGACGCGGGCCTGCAGCCCTCCTCAGGCACCACTCTGGGGCCACCAGCCTCCTCCACACCTGGGGGGCCCCCCAGTGTGGGAACCAGCCCCTCCCCCCCCGCGGCCTCACCCAGCGGGGGCTCAGCAACCAGACCCTCAAGCGGCCCCACTTCAGAAGCCCCCCAGCCCCCTGAGGCCTCTCAGGGGTCCTCCACGACCAGCTCTGGGGGGGACACTGGCCCACACCCCTCCTCAGGCACCACTCTGGGGCCACCGGCCTCCTCCAAGCCTGGGGGGCCCCCCAGTGGGGGAACCAGCTCCCCCCCCACCACAGCCTCACCCAGCGGGGGCTCAGCACAGACCTCGAAACCAGGAACCTCTCCACCGACGTATCCTGGGTCCAGCAGGAACACCTGGACCCCAGGTAGCACCCCCATTACCCTTGAGTCACCCTCATGCTCCCTGATTCATGACTGGGTCTTCACCCCAGGTCAGCCCAGCATGACTACGAAACCCCAAGGGAGGTCTGTTCCGGTCTGGGGGAGAGACAGGTCCTAAGGGTGCCAGGAGTTAAACTGGAGAAGGTGTGGGGGTTGGGGCAGAGCCCAGATTCGGGGTTCAGTGACCCCCCAGTTCCCAGGGTCATTCAGTCCACGGGTCCCGTGCCACCCGCATCTCCTTGCTGGAATAGTGGCTCCCTTGGCCTCCCACTTGAAACTGGTGGGCACTGACGCCCCCTCCCCACCCTCTCCAGCAGCCGGGCCTATTGGGCTCCCTGTGGGGGATCAGTGTACCCACCCCTGGGAACCTCAGCCCTTGGTGCCAGGCCTGGCCTGCTCTCAGGGCTTCCTGAGCTTCCCGCAGCTCAGCCTGGGAGTGCTTGGGGTGTGAGAGTAAGTGGGAAGCGGTCACATTGCCCGCAGGGACATCTGAAACAACCCGAACAGAAGGCAGGCCAGACGGAGGCCAGGCTGGGGACCGACGCTTCTCGGAGGCGGAGATGGCGGTACTGGGCGGGGTGCTGGGCGCAGCGCTCCTCTTGGCTCTGATCGCCCTCACAGTCCTCGTCTACAGGCACTACGGCCAACGACTCATATGCAGCTCTGGCCGAGTGCTGGTGAGGCTCTGGGCGTAGGGGCAGGAGCTGAAGGGCCAGGAAAGGGGGGTGCAGAGTCGAGACTGGAGATGCGACAGAGAGGAGCTGGAGACGGCAGGGTGGTGGAGAGGGGCACGATGGAGAGCCGGGTGGCGTGAGGCAGGGGTCAGCGTGGGAGACGGAGGGAGGCCGGTGGTCAGCGTGGGAGATGGGGCGCAGAGGCGAGGAGAGCGGGGTGGGGACGCCACAAAGACTGGGGAGCAGGGTGGAGGGGCAGAGCGCCCGTCCCCCAGTGTCGGGGGGCAGGGTGGCCAAGCCCAGCTGGCGGCTGGCTGACTGCCGGCTCCTGCCCACCCCTAGGAGCCGCAGCCTCAAGGCTTTGACAACCAGGCTTTCCTCAACGACTCCGACGACGCCAACTGGGCGCCGGCGCCTAGCCCTTCACCCAGCCACGCCCAGCCGGCGCCCCCGGAGCCTGAGCCCCCGGAGCCCGCGCCGCCCAGCCCTGAGACCCCGCGTCGGGTCCCAGAGGCCCCTGCGATGGCCGCGGACGGGGGCAGCCCAGCGGCCGTGAGGTCCATCCTGACCAAGGAACGGCGGCCTGAGGGCGGCTACAAGGCCGTGTGGTTCGGAGAGGACATCGGCGCGGAGGCTGACGTGGTGGTTCTCAACACGCCCGCCTCGGAAGCCGGCGGCGCTGGCGACTCTGGCAGCGAGGGCAGCGGCGACGAGGCTGCGGATGCCCAAAACGCGCCTGGTACCGACTCCGTTCACTTCTAACGCCGCCTCCCCCCAGAGTCTGGACCCCGAGAGTCGGCTTTGTGGCTGTCCCCACACTCCACCGCGCAGAATAAAATAACATTTTTGGCTCTGCGGGGACTCGTGGCGTCTGCTAGCTGCCAGGGGGCGCTGTGGGAGCCTCGAGGGGCGGGCGGGTCCCGGCACTGCTCTGAGCGCCAGGCGCCGGTTCCCGGAAACCACCTGCTGCGCGAGGGGCTTCCCAGGCTTGGTGCCAGCTGGTGGCCAGGAAGTTCCTCTCCTGGTCTGACCACGGCCGACTCGACATGGAGATTCTTCGTCTGGGGGAGGCTGAGGAGCCACCTGGCCAGAAGCCCCCTCAAGGACTCGTGTGGGAGGGCGTGGGCTCCGGGACCATCCCGAGCGTCACACTGCGGCAACTGTGGCCACAGTGAGGGCAGTAAACGCTCTGGGGCGCCCGCGGAGGCACCTGGTCCAGGTGGCTGGACTGACTGGCGGGGGGTGGCCCAGAAAGACGGTGGCCGCGAGCCTAGGGTGGCACGTGGAGCTGGTGGGTGCACAGAACAGTGGCTCTGGACGGACGGAACCCAGAGTCACGGAGTTGCGGCCGAATCCCCTGACTGGCTTCCTCGGGGCGGCCCTCAGGCAAGACTTCCGCACCGCCGCCCGCCCCGACCACTACCGTTCCTTCCGGGTCGCCGGTGTTTTTCCATCCCTTTCCAAGTATTTTAATCTCAGCAGTATTTGAGTATTCTTCTTCTTCTTTTTTTTTGAGTATTCTTGCCTGAGTAACTGTCACCGGATAAGAATCCAAAGAGCGCGGCCGCAGCCCCTCCCACGCGCCCATCACCCGCTCTTCCGCTCTGCGATGCGCCAGGTTTTGTTTCTGGAACCCCCGCCTTATCCCACGGCCTCTCCCGGAACGCTGGTTGCTGGCCCCAGCCCCCGCTGCGTTGGGTGAGCGAGGGGAGCAGCTGGGCCGCACCGGGGCTGGGTCCAGGGTCGCCGGGATCCCCCGTGGCGCCTCCCGCCGCAGCGCAGGAGCCCGTCCTGCGCACCTGCGCTAGGCCCGGCCCCCGGCGCACGTGACTCCCGCCAAGATCCCTGGAGCCCCGCCCATTCCCGCCCCGCCCCGGCCCCGTCCCCGGCCTCTATAAAGGCACTTGCTCGCGAGCCCCAGGGGAGCAGTCTCCCCACGGGTGACTCCTGAGCCAGGTACTGGGGAGACCCGACTCGGGAAGAACCCGAGTGAAGGCCTCGTCGGACTCCGGGGTCGATTCTCCGAGCAGTGACCACGGAGGTCGGCCGGAGGCACGGGTCCGGGACGCGCTCCGCGGAGCAGTGACCAGGAGGGGGCGGGCTGCACGGATGACGGCGCGGGGCCCGGGTCCGGGACTCGGGGACCTGGACGGGGAGGTGGCGGTGACGCGCGGGGCGTGGCGGGTTAGGTTTCGTTTTTCCGCAACGCCGGGTTTCGTTTTCCTGCGGCCGTTCCCGTCGCGCCCCCGTAGGGTCCATTTCGGACGCCGGCTCAAAACCTGTGACGCCTTGTGCGCGCGCCAGCCACATCTGTAGCCACATCCAGCGCGGTCTTGGCCAGGACTCACCTCCGCAACTCTGTGACGCGAAGCCCGCTTCCGCGACCTCTAACACCCGGGACTACCTGTGGAGACTTAGACAACCCTCTCTCCTGCGCCAACCCCCAACAGCCCCGCGACCCCAGCCCTTTGCGCGGAGGGCGTGCGGCTCTCTCCAGGCCCAGCCTTTGCGGAGGGACCAATGGCCGAGGCTCCAGACCGGTGAGCCTGCCTGCCTGCCTGCCTGCCCGCCCGGTGCCGGCCCCACGCCTCCGGCGGCCCCCGTGCGCCCTGACACCTGGCTGCTCCGCCCGCAGGGGAACCCCGCGCGTGCTCTTTGGAGACTGGCTTCTGCGCGAGGTCAGCAGTGGCCGCTATGAGGGTCTACGGTGGCTGGACTCAGCCCGAACGCGCTTTCGCGTACCCTGGAAGCATTTCGCGCGGAAGGACCTGGGTGAGGCCGATTCGCGCATCTTTAAGGTGAGACCCCAGCTCGGCCCGGGAAGGGGAGGGCCGGCCCAGGCCCGCCTGTCCAGGCCACGTCTTCCACACTCTTTCTCAGGCCTGGGCCGTGGCCCGCGGCAGGTGGCCGCCCCGCAGCGGTGGAAGTGCCCGGCCGATCCCTGAGAGTGCGCTGCGGGCCTCCTGGAAAACCAACTTCCGCTGTGCGCTGCGCAGCACGCAGCGCTTTGTAATTTTGGAAGACAACTCGGGGGACCCTACCGACCCTCATAAGGTGTACAAGATCAGCTCTGAGCCGGAGGACCGAGGTGAGGAAGGCCGGGGGTGCTGCCGGCAGGGGGACTGTGCTGTGTCCTAGGAGTAGCTGCTAAGTCAGATTTTAGGTTTTAGAAACTGGCGCTGGAGAAGCTGGTGCCAGATTATTAGGGGGGTGGCAGGACTGGAGTGAAGGGGTCTGTGTGAGAGGAAGCGGATGGGCCCACTGGGGCTTGTGAAGGGGAAGCGCAGCCCAACTTCCGGGAGCAAGTGGGGATTGACATCCAGGCGCCTCACTTCAGTGTTTCCCCAACCCTAATTCTCCCTCAAAAGGCCTAGGCTTTGACCAGGGGGAGGACGAGGCCCTAGAAGACGCCCCACCTGCAAGGGTAAGGCCCCTCTGTACTCCTGCATCCTGGGTTGGAGCGGCTCCCTCCCTGGGCCTGGGGGCAGCTCATTTATGCTGGCGCTGTCCTTTTCAGCAGGGTGGGCTCCCAGGGCCATGCCTGGCAACAGATACTGGTGAGAGCCTGGGGCACCAGCTGAACCCTGATGCCTGCCCCCCAAGCCTAGCTGGAGATGCCGGGGACCTCTTGATCCAGGCGCTGCAGCAGAGTTGCTTGGAGGACCATCTGCTGGATCTGATCCCCTCAGAGGCTCCTGGTGAGGGCCTGTTGCAGTGGGTGGGGGGTGCTCTACCCTGCAGGGATAGGCAAGGCGGCAGAGTGCCTGGAGAGAGGGTGGGCCCAGGGGAGGGGTGCCTGGGAGGGATGGTGCTGGTCACAGCTGGGTCAGTATAGCTGGGCCTCCGCAGGCCCCCTCTGCTTGGGAGCGGTACTTGCCACAGAGAAGGTGGGGCCTCCAGCCTCAGGCCATAGCCCCAGGAGCCAGGGAACTTGTGGGAAAGGGACGAGCTGGGGGCCCAGGTGTCAGCTCAGACTTCTCTTCCTTTCCAGATGCAGTCCCACCCCCAGAGCCCTGGCAGCCTCCAGAGGCGGAGCCCCACACGGAAGCCTCTGCCAGTGCCTGCACCCCGATGGCAGGGGAGCCGCCCCTGGCTGGCCCTGGCTGCTCACAGCTTGGTCTGCAGCCAGAATCCAGCCTGGGGGCCCTGGACTTGACCATCCTGTATAAAGGCCGCACGGTGCTGCAGGAGGTGGTGGGGCGTCCGAGCTGTGTGCTCCTGTACGGCCCCCCCGGTGTAGCTGGAGAGGCTTCAGGGCCCCAGCGAGTTGCCTTCCCCAGCCCTGCCGAGCTGCCTGACCAGAAACAGCTCCACTACACAGAGACGCTGCTGCAGCACGTGGCCCCGGGCCTGCGGCTGGAGCTCCGGGGGCTGTGGCTGTGGGCCCGGCGCCTGGGCAAGTGCAAAGTCTACTGGGAGGTGGGGGGGCCTCTGGGCTCAGCCAGTGCCTCCACCCCAGCTCGCCTGCTGCCCAGGGACTGTGACACGCCCATCTTTGACTTTGGCACCTTCTTCCAAGGTTAGTGAAGCACTTGTCCTGGGGCTGCGGGCCCTCTGTGCCCCACCCCCTCACCAGAGCCCTGTTCCACAGAACTAGTGGAGTTCCGGGCCCGGCAGCGCCACGGCTCCCCGCACTACACCATCTACCTGGGCTTCGGGCAGGACCTATCAGTGGGGAGGCCCAAGGAGAAGAGCCTGGTCCTGGTGAAGGTGAGGGGCCGGGTCCCCGGGAGGGGGAGGGCTGCACACAGCCCCCACCTGGCCTGACAGCACCCTCTCCGCAGCTGGAGCCGTGGCTGTGCCGGACGTACCTGGAGGCTGTGCAACGCGAAGGTGTGTCCTCCCTGGACAGTGGCAGCCTCAGCCTCTGCCTCTCCAACTCCAACAGTCTCTATGAGGACCTGGAGCACTTCCTGGAGCACTTCATGATGGAAGTGGAGCAGGCTGCCTAGGCCAGACCCCCAACCCTTCTGAATCCAATAAAAAGATCCTAAGGGGACCTCGCTGGCAGTAGTCCAGTGGTTGACTCCACACTTCCAATGCAGGGGACACAGGTTCAGTCCCTGGTCGGGGAACTAAGATCCTACATGACACACAGCTCAGCCAAGGAAAAAAAGCTTCTAAGAACCACACCAGTGTCCACTGGGGGTAGGCTTGAAGCTCGGACTCTGGAGGGGCATCATGGATTCAGCGGACCACACTGTCGGCCCCGCCCCCCACAGGCCCCTGGCACACCCCTTCCCTCTTCTACTTCAGTGAAAGCTCTGGCCACGCTTTAGAGCCAACAAACCGCCCGGCGTGCACAGACGGCCCCCCGTGCTGCTGTGAGCGGGCTCCACTTGCTGTGCCCAAGGCCTGTTTCTGGCCGGTGGGAAATGCCAACAAGGTGCCCCCTGGGAGTGGGGGAGCCAAGTATAAACTTGAGTGGCTATCTATGAAACACAAGGGAGCAAAAGGCTGACTAGGGAAGTGCCCCGCCCCAGGCCCCCCCTTTTTCTCACCACCTTTCAAGTACTGAGCCAATCAGACGTTTCTAAAGAGAATCCATCTTTGATAAATTAGAACACAATGGGAACTGTGTCTATAATATACATATAAAAAAGTCCAGTTTTAAACTATGAGCAAGACAGGTGCACAGACCACATGTGATCACAGGAACCCTGAAAACGGGAGGGCGGGGCGTGTCCCGTTTTCTGCTCCTCAGCCCTCCGCGCCCTGGGCGGGCGGCTCCTCGCCAGCCTCGGCCCGCCGGTGTCTGCGCATGTGCCTGTACTTGTCCACGTAGGCCTTCACCAGGTTGCCCACCTTCACGGGGTTGATCTCCCCGCTCTTGCTGTGGCAAATCTGGAGGAGGAAGGGGAACAGTGTCCCAGACATCCCTTCGCGCCCAAAACGGTCATGGATCATGGGGACCAGGCCCTGGGGCCCCTGTGAGGGGCGGCGGGCAGGCTGACGTGCGTTTGTCTGCTCTGTCCACTTCACAGGGTGGCTGACGGCCCTCCTGAGGCGATCTGGCATGTCCGCTTCTCCGGGGTGGGGTGGGGGGTGGGGGGTGGCTCACTTTCCTAGCCGTGAGTGGGGTTAAACGTGATGTTGCTCAAACTCTTTAACAACCGCTCACAAACAGCCGCCTTTACACCCCAAGCACCTAAGCAGCTGGCTACAGCGAGGGGGTATGGGGTGTGGCCACGCAGCCCAGGGCTCACAGGCCCCTCCCACCCCCCCCCCCAGCCCAGGGCTCACAGGCCCCTCCCACCTCCCCAGCCCAGGGCTCACAGGCCCCTCCCACCCCCCCAGCCCAGGGCTCACAGGCCCCTCCCACCCCCAGCCCAGGGCTCACAGGCCCCTCCCACCCCCCAGCCCAGGGCTCACAGGCCCCTCCCACCCCCAGCCCAGGGCTCACAGGCCCCTCCCACCCCCCAGCCCAGGGCTCACAGGCCCCTCCCACCCCCCCAGCCCAGGGCTCACAGGCCCCTCCCACCTCCCCAGCCCAGGGCTCACAGGCCCCTCCCACCTCCCCAGCCCAGGGCTCACAGGCCCCTCCCACCTTCTGCACCGCCTTGCGCAGGATGTCCTTATACTCGTCCTTGGTCACCTCCCTCTTCTGGTAGAAGGGCTTGATGGCCAGCTTCACCTCCTCCACGGCCCGCTCCTGCACATGCAGCTTCTTCATGTACTGGGGGCGAGGATACCGGTGAGAGCTTGGCGTTGGGCTGCTGGCCCGCGCCTGCCCCTGGAGGAGCAGCAGGGGGTCTCACCTCCTCATTCTTGGCCTTCTCTGGGGCTGGCCTAGGGGGAGCTGTCCTCTCCTCAGAGTTGTTGGCAGCAGTGGTGGTGGCAGCGTGGCCAGCTGGCTCTGAGGCTGCAGTCGGGATGGTGGACACTGGGGCCAGGCTCTGCGCCACCCCGCAGCCCGGGAGGGGCAGGCTCCCCTGGAGGAGGAACTGGACTGCGGGCTGGCTGATGGGTGCATATGGCGGGACGCCCGATGGCAGGGCTGGGCCGGGGGGCAGGCTGGGGCTCTGTACCTGGGCGAAAGTGCAGCCTGCTCAGCCTCCGCACACTCAGTACCCCGTGCCCCCAACCCCCCACTTCTGAACCCAAATAGCCCAGGCAGCAAAGGGCTGGTGCGTGCGGCTCTCAGCCCCAACCCAGCCCAGCCTGCGTGGCCTGGGTACAAGGCTACATCCCTCCAGCCCAGGGGCCCACCTGAGAGGGGTCAGTTGGGGGGAAGCCAGGCTCTGGAAGCACATAAGCAGGGGCAGGCGGCTCAGAGAAAGGTGCCTGCTGGAGCCCAGCCACGGGGCCCACGTCGTCAGATTCCCAGACTCCTTCCCGGGGCTTCTGTGGCCTGTGAAGTGGTGTCCCTGGGGGCCAACATACGGGGGTGGGTGTTCTGGGGCCCTCCAGGCCACAAGGCTGCCTCCTGGCTGGAAAATTTCAGAAAAGCGTCCTAGAGCAAGGACCCCAAGGAAGGTGCTGCCATCCCACCCCCATGACCAAGGCGGCCTGGGAGTCACCCAAGGATCACTCTCCGCCCCCACCAAAGCGCCTACTCACACAGGCCTCTGTCGTTGGCCGGGGCCCCATAGTCTGCCTCCTGGAGGTTCCAGGTGACCCTCTTCACCAGCGCCTTGGCCCGCAGCAGAGGGTTCTGAGAGGGGCCTTCCTCCTTCCCCACAGGTGTCCCGCCCGGGGCCTCGGCACCCAGGGCACAGGGCACTGTGGCGGCCTCGTCTGCATCCTGCTGGAGCGAGTGCTTCTCCTGGGGGACCTCGGTCCCAGGCAAGGGCTGTGCCACATCTTCACCATGGATCCGAGACACCTCCCTCCGGATGACGGCCATGGCCAGGCTGGTGTCGTGCTGGGGGCCCGCTGGGGGCATGGTGGGCTTGGGCAGGAGGTCGCGCTCCGGGGAAGAGTCCGTGCTCTCCGGGGAGGGCGGGGAACTCATGTCATCAAGCTGCATGAAGATGGTGTCATTGGAAAAGTCCTCAAAGAGGTGCCCCGCCTCCACAGAGTCGCCATAGTCCACATCCTCCGCTGGACACTCCGCGAGCACCTCCGGGACTGGGGCGGTCTTGTCGACTTCTGGCCCTTCTGGTAAGCCGTCTGCTCCCGCTGAGGGTGGGGGCCCAGCCGGGGACCTAGCCGGGGGCTCCCTGTCTGGCCTGGGCTCCTCCTGGGGAGGGGGTGCTGGAGAAGCCTCTTTTGGGGCCAACTTCCGCTCAGGGGAGTGGGGGTGGGGCCGCGGGCGCTTCTCCCGGGACCGAGGCCGCCGGTGCACCCGGGGCCGGTGTTCCGGGCTAGGGGACCTGGACCTTCGCCGCCGCCTCTCGCGGGAGCTGTGCCGGTCCCGGGGCCGCCCCCTCCTCTCCCTGGGGTGCCTGGGGGGCGAGCACTCCCTCCCCCGAGACCTGGACCCTGACCGCCGCCTCTTCTTCCTGCGGCCCTCGCGGTGCTCGTGGGAAGAGCTCCCAGGGCTCCCAGAGCGGGAGCGGGACCTCCGGCGGCCGCGGCCCCAGGAGCCTCTGCCCCGCTCCCTGCTCTTGTCCTTCGCCTTCTTGCGCTTGGTGCGCTCGTGGCTGCTGGAGCGCTCACTGGAGGACCTGCGGCCCCGGGCCTTGGGCCGGTGTCTCTTGGGCTGGTCCTCGCCCGCTGCCGGCGAGGCAGACCTGGAACTCCGGTCTCCTGAGCGGGACGAGCGGGAGCCCGAGCGGCCGGCGCAGTGCTCCCTGGTGGCTGCCCTCGGCTGTGGGCCTCTCTTCTGGCCGCGGGAGCTGGACCGGGAGCAGGAGCGGGTGGGGGAGCGCAGCTCCACGACCCTGTGGGTGGCTGCAGGCGGGGTGTCCGGGCTGGGTGGCATGTCAGGCTCCACCACAGTCACGCAGGTCACCGTCCGGCTCTCGGAGCCGAAGAAGGAGCTGCGGGCTGGCAGGGCCTCATCACCCCAGGGCTCCGGGGGGGACGGCTGCTGTGCCTGTGCGCAGGGCTCCTCGTCCTGGAGCTCGGACAGACTGGAGGGCCCCTGGGGGGGCTCCGGCTCCTTTCCCGCGCTGGTCTGCACCGTGTAGGAGGTGACACAGCGCACAGGGGGCAGTGCTGGGGCCTCGGGACTGTCCACAGAGATGGTTCGCGTGATCTCCGAGGGAAGAAGGCCCAGACGCTCAGGGCTGCTGTTGGCGGAGCTGGAGTCGGAGCCCGTGGGGTTGAAGGGGTCATAGATCTCACTCTTGAGCTGCTTTGTCTTCCTGACAGAGAAGAGGGGTGAGGGGCTTGCTCTCCTCTGCACCTTGCTGTCCACTGGCCGGAACGTGTTACAGAAGCCGGGGCTGAGCAGTCTGCCGGAATGGGCTGTGTTCCCAGGAATGTTGATCCTGAAACTCTCAAAGGTGGAGCCAACACCCTTTCCCCGGGCGGGCCCCAGTGGGCTGGGGGGCTGGGCCCCCCCCCCCGAGCGTGTGCTGGGCTCCTGCGCGCCCCGGTTGCTGGGCTCACCCTCCACCCGGGCCCCGCAGCCAGGCTGTCCAGAGCCCTCCCTGCCCGTCAGCCGGCTGATGCAGGAGCTGGGGAGCTCGACACCCTGCCTGCTGGTGGGAACTTCGTCCCCCTGGCTGCCATCTCTCCTGATCTTTGGTATTCTGGGGAGCTCGGAGATGTCTGTCCGCCTGGGAGCTGGTCTTGGGGCCTGGCCCGGCACTGTGCTCTTGGAGGGCGAGTTAGAGCTGCTGTGTGAGACCTTCAATGCCACAGACCCGAGAGGCAGAGAGTGCTTGCTGTCGCCGTTAAACCGGTGATCCTCACCCTGTTTTATACCAGGTCTGCTCTCACTGGACAAGGTCTGAGACTGGCCCAACCAAGGTGTCACGGAGGAGCCAGGTTTTGCTGCTGCTCCCGACAGGAGAGCAGGGACATGGGTGGGGGCAGGGGCGGCCCTGCCCGGGCAGCCGGG